GCAAGAATACTTGTTTTCCAATCTGCCGGATTCTCCCGATATATGGATGCAGGCGCTGCATCAGCTAGTGGGTTACTCGGTGGACCACCACCCGCTTCTATGCTTTCGGCATGGCTGGCGTATATCATACGGATAACGTTCGGTTTTGATACCTTTTGCCGTTTTCTAACCGACAATGGGCCACTTGTGGTTAGTAGGGAAGTGATAGGGAAACAATTAAAAAAATATGGAAAAATATAAAAATCGAAAAAAATATATTTAAACTTAACATGGTATTGCGCTACAAAACAGATAAAATAAAATAAAATTTAACAAAAATAAAATATCAACAAAACTACACTCTACTTCAGGTACCTCCTTTTCTATAACATTTATATAAGAACCCTCCGAAAACCCATCAGTTTTGGGTAGTACTTTAGGTATATTTAAGGGTATATTCTCGGGTATATTACTAGCTGTGTTGCTTGATATGTCTATACTATTAGAACAAGAAGGTTGGTCATTATTACTAGACACAGAACTTGTAGGTAATTGGAACGATGTATTATTTGTTAAATTGTCATCCGTTAATAAACAATCTTCAATTAAACATTTTATTTGTTCACTAAGCACACGACGTTTAAAAAATTGTGGCGTTTGCTTACTTTTTTAAGAAATATCCTAATTCAAAAATAAACGATAAACCTGAAAATACCCTTAACAAATACCTACCTAAGACTAACAGTGAAATGGCAAAATATGCAAAATATAATAAATTATGTTGTTTCAACTTACTCTTCACTTGATTTTGCCATTTTATGTGTATACAAACTATAATATAACCTAAAACTACACACAAAACTAGTTTGTCACAAAAAACACAATTTTCAAACAAAAACCGGCACCAAAACACGTACCTATATCGTTTATAGCACAATTCACAATGTGGATTGTGGTTTATAGTATATGGATAATTTATAAACTATTTTCTTTAAAGGAAAACAACATAACACTGTCCTGAACAATCCTTAAAAAGCTTTTCTGGAATATAACCTAACATTGAAACTTCGTTCACGTGGTTCAGCTAAACTACTAAAGTACATATACTTATAAGTATATGCTAAAGTAAAGTGTTTGCGACCTCTATGATCTGTGTTTGGGACTACGAATGCCAAAGACTTAAAATGAGGAGAGCGGGTATCAGCGTACTTAACGAAGACGGCCCGAAAGTAGCAAATAATCCAGCCCGTTCATGAGCTATACTTTTTCGGATAGCATTCGGGCGCGAAGGGTGGATCCCGGTTACTGGTTTGCCGAAATCGGGCCGTATTTTAACCGAATTTGGAAAAATGCCTACTGGGGAGTTTGTATGCGGGCCGTAAGTGATCCGGACACGGCAAATTATGCCACCAGTCTCCCGATAGTGCCGAATGTTGGCCGAATGTTTCCCGAGAGTTCTGTGTTTACTGGGGTGACATGACATATTTCGTATACTATGCATAGATAATAATACTATGGCAACAATCACGGTTATAATTTAAATAATTTTTTTATTAAAACTGATTAATACACGAAAAATAAAAAAAGGGGAAAACCCTTTAGGTTGTAGTAAAAAACAAAAATTACCAGTCAAAAATTTTGCGCCCCCTGTAAGCTTGCGCCCCGGGTCTATAGACCCCCAAAGACCCCCCTAAATCCGGCGCTGATATTATGACAGTGAGGCGTATTTGTCGCCTCTTGAAGAATTTTACGAATGTAGAATCCAACATATTAGAACGTGGGTATCTGACATATTTGGAAATATTCTCAAAAGCTTCCTAGAAGCTCCATAAGAAACCTTCTAAGAACATTCCAAAAACGTATTCTTAAAATGTTCTTAGGATGCTTTTTAGGAAGGTTTTAAGAATCTAATTGCATCATTAAAAGGGTATCTATTGAATGTTTTAAAAGTCCCTAAGAACATTCTTAGCAACAAGGGAAGGTTCCATTATTTCGGGTCATATCTTCTTAGAATATTCTTAGAATCAAATTTTGCTATCAGGGTAAAAACAACTTGGGAAATAAACAAAATATTTTAAGACTTCTAAGAAATATTTTAGATAAAAAATATTATCTAAAATTTTCTTAGAAGTCTTAAAATACTTTTTTATTTCCCAAGTTGTTTTTTTTCTTGTTAACAAGAAATAATTATTCAACTTATATATTTGCTGTCTTAAAACAATTTTTTTAAAATATATTTTTTCCAAGCTTACTATAATTTTTATATTATAAAACTTATAAGTCCTTATAGAAATACTTATGCCTAAATGACATAAGAAAATATTCATAACCCTTAATTTATAGACATGAAACAATATAGAATATGTACATATTTTTTAAGGAAATTGTATGCTTTACAAAAAAGTATTTTTTTTCGTAAAACCATTTAAATAATATCGGAGGACAATATTTTTTCTGAATTTCATTCATTTCATTCATTAAATTATTTATTTACAGTTTAAAACAATTTTTGAAATATTTTGTTTATACCTAAGTATGTCGATTTGTAAATGGGTATACCGGTATAATGGGTATTCACAAACTCAATGTGTTTAAGCGTTTAAAACAAATTTATTGTTAACTTTTTAGTTTTGTAAATGTTCAATTATTTAATTGAGGAGCATCCGTGCACGGATGCATGCAAAACCGGCTAAATCCATTTTATTCAGTTCTGGTTTTTTTTTTGATTTCGCATCTTTGGGTTCATTTCTATCGACAACCAAGATAATTCTGTTTAAATCTGACTATAATATAACTATATCCATGTTAAAATCACATTTAAAAGGTAGCTTTAGGAGAAAAACCGGCCAAATCCACTTTTTTATAGCAAACCCGGCTATATCCAATAAATAATAATTTGTGGCTTGGATATGTCGATACTACTACTAAAATTTGTTCTGTTTTTTCATTATTATTATTATTATTATCACTTACAGAGTAGAGGATAAAATCCTATAAACTCAAATTTTAAATGCATACATGAATCATGTTTGTACTAAATTTATTTTGTTAATATTTTTGAATAATAAAGGTTTTTTTTCACATTTTATTCGTTTTTTATTCGGTTTTCGAGCAAAACCGGCTATATACAAAACATTTCTTGAAATTTTGGCCTTAATATAAAGTTTTTGAAAACGAAAGTTTGTTTTATAAATCAAGTAGGTACCACAAAGCCCACAAAACTTAAGTTTGCTTTTTCTTTTATCTGTAAAGGCCAGGAATCCGAGAGTTTTTGCCATTTTCCCAACATTTTGTTAAAGTGGATATAGCCGGTTTTGCACGGATGCTCCTCAATTGGAATTATTCAAATATTTGTGTAATTTTAAAAAAGTACCACAAGTATGACTTGCACCGAGGCCCACTTCTTCTTGGATCCGCCACTGGTCACTTTTATAAGAATTAATTTACAATAAATAAATAAGATATATCATATCTAGAGGTTTAAAATTAGCGTTAAAATAAGTATAAATAGGAACGCCGAATGGTATATGCAACAATCATAAGATGAATTACTTTATACTTTGTGCACTTTTTGCATTGACGCACGCAAGTGTCGATGAGAACCAATTAAAAAAGCTTCAAGCTCTTCCAGAGTTTGAAGGAGTATCATTACAGGAGATCGAGGCCAAAACCAAACTCACCGTGGTATGAAACTTTTACTATCCTCTTTTTTTATATTTAATCGATTTTTTTAGCCTGACTTGATCAAAATGGAAGGATACGTCAGCGAAACCCACAAAGTCACCACCAAGGATGGTTACATCTTGACCCTACACAGAATTCCCTTCGGAAAAAACGCAACGAATTCTAACGGAAGAGTCGCCTTTCTTCAACACGGCCTACTGTCTTCCTCATGCGACTGGATCATCACTGGCCCATCCAAAGCCTTAGGTATGCATCTCAATGCTATTTTGACTTTAAATATCCAATTATTTTTGAGTACACAATTAATGACGATTCCATATCAAGGTGTACAGGTACCAGAGACTTGGGAGTATATTTTGATACCAAATTATAATTTTCAGACCACATCACTAGTATTGTAAAATCTGCTCTTAAAATGGTTGGTTTTATAAATAGAAATACTCAATCAATGAATTGTGAGGGTGCATTGAAAGTTTTGTATTATTCATTGGTTCGTACCAAGCTAGAGTACCTACTGCTCTCTTGTTTGGTATCCATGTTATTATGCCTACTCTGATCAATTAGAAAGAGTACAAAGGCGATTTTTGAAAATTTTAGCTTTTAGGCTTGACAATATTTATCCTGGTAGAGGTACTGAACATATTTTATTGTTGAATAGATTTAATGTTAGGTCCTTGCAATGAAGAAGATTTTTATTAAGTATTAAATTGCTGTACAGGCTGTTCAGTAATGAAATAGACAGTACCTTTTTGATATCACTCTTTAACATTCACGTACCACGAATTAATGCTAGATCGATTTTAACTTTCTATAATACATATGCCAGAACCAATGTTCTTTTGAATCTCCAGTATTTGTCATGAGTGGTTGTAGTTGCCACTATTGAAAATATTACAACGTTGGCCATAAATTATTTTGAAGTTAGCTAAACTAATTTTGAATTTATATATAGTATAGTATTTGTTTATATATTCTGTATTATTATAATTGTCCTGTAATTGGAATACCTTTTCTGTTGGGCAATAAAGATATTATTATTATTATTGTTTTTCTTCTGTGTAGCTTACACCTTGGCAGATGAGGGTTACGATGTGTGGATGGGCAACGCACGAGGTAACAAATACTCGAGAAACCACATAACAATACACCCAGATCAAGGGTCTGAGTTCTGGAAATTCAGCTGGCATCAAATCGGCGCCATCGATCTTCCAACCATGATCGATTTTGTCTTGAATAAAACTGGAGTTTCAAGTGTGTACTACGCTGGCCACTCACAAGGAACAACCAGCTTTTACGTAATGACATCCCTTAAACCAGAATACAACAAGAAAATCAAGGTGCAAGTCAGTTTGGCACCAATCGGTTTCATGAAACACATGACAAGTCCTTTGCTCAAAATTTTGGCCTTCTTTACCAACACAATGGAGGTATGTACATCTTTGTTCATTAGTTTAAAAAAGAAAGGTGAGTCAATCCAAATGAAAACACCAAAAATTAATTTAAAAGTGCGCTGCATGATTTTTTATTTTAATGAAAAAATTTGAGGATGATCTTTTAGGTATCATATATGAAAAACAGTTGCCGTTTTAATTTTTAGTTGCTTTATTTTTAATCGGCACCCTTTAGAAAGCTGAAATCGTGTCATTTTCTTACTCTCTTATAAGAGGCTAACACTTTTTTTCTGTGGCAATTATTGTAATGATTGTAATTTTATTTTACTGCCTAGTAAGTATGTTTTCAATATTAATTATTATTATCTAATTAGTTCATCTCATAAAAGAATAGTAAACCACTAAAGATTTGTAATAATTTGCCAATTTTTGTGATTTTTGTCTGGTTCCTGTCACAGGAATCCTGTGCCTATTCTGCTAAATCTAGAAAGTTGCTTTTTTCAGGTATCAAGTATTTATACAATAGAAAACGTAACTATTATTTTAAGTTTCTAGACTATCATTTTCTTTATTAAAAAAATTATTGAAACTTGATAATTTTCAAAATTAGCCAATTTTGCCCTCAGAAATCATTATGTTGCGGAAAAAATAAAAATCTGAAACTTTCAGGAAATGTAGTCACTACCTTCATCTTTTCAGTCTAGTTATTCTTGTTTTGTTATTTTTGTCCATGTAAAAGATATAATAATTTTTTTAATGCAGTTAAGAAGCGATATTGTTAGTTTTATTTATAATTTAGATGGCTTTGACTTAGTCAATTCATGTTTGGTAGAGAAATGTCAGAACTGTCAAAAATATTTCATAAATATTATTTGAGCGTATTTGTGATTTCAAAAAGTTTGCAAGTTTGCAAGTGTAATAAATGACAGTGTTCGAGATTCATGAATTTAATTGCAATTAAAAATGCAAGAACATATCATAATTTTGTAGCTCTTTCTCATAGAAAATATTCAAGTTCTGAGAAGTTTTAAATTGTTAAAAATAAGCAAAAACCCAAAAATATCCTAAATAAACCCCTTTATAACATATGTTAACTATTCAGTGCCTTACTAAAGGGATCAAAATAATAGAACAAGACTAACTTGGTTTAAATTTTGAAAGAAACCGACAAAAAACTGCTTAACGCATTTTTTATACGTTTAAATTAACTCTTTATTAATTTCACTTATTATATATTTTTTCATTTTAAACACCAATTAGCCAATTAAATACTTCATTATAATGTATATAATATATAATCATATATATATATATATATATATATATATATATATATATGATTATACAATACATAAAATATATCATAACTACAAAATATTTCATAATTATTATTTGTGGTATTCCTTTGGAGATTTTAAAAAGTTTTGTATATACCATATTATGACATATTATGTTATATACAAAATTTACCAAAGAAATACGCACAAATAATATTTATAAAATATTTTTGTCAGTTCTGACACTTCTCCACCAAACATGAAAGTCATCTAAATTTTAAATTATAAATAAAACTAACAACATCGCCACTAAACGGGCATTAAAAAAATTAAAATAACTTTTAAAGGAATAAAAATAACAAAACAAGACTAACTGGACTGAAAAGATGAAGGTGGGGACCACATTTCCTGAAAGTTTCAGATTTTTATTTTTTCCTCAACATAATGATTTCTGAGGGCAAAATTGACTAATTTTAAGAATGATCAAGTTTCAATAATTTTTTTAATAAAGAAAATGATAGTCTAGAAACTTAAAATAATAGTTACGTTTTCTATTGTATAAGTACTTGATACCTGAAAAAAGATAACTTTCTAGATTTAGTAGAATAGGCACAGGAGTCAGACAAAAATCACAAAAATGGGCAAATTATCATGAATCTTTAGTGGTTTACCATTCTTTTGTGAGATTAACTAATTGGATAATATCACAGAAAAAAAGTTCTGGCCCACTATAAGAGAGTAAGAAATTGACACGATTTCAGATTTCTAAAGGGTGCCGATTAAAAGTAAAGGGATTAAAACGGCAACGGATTTTCATTTTTGATACCTCAATTTTTTTTATCAAAATAAAAAATCAAGCAGCGCACCCCATTCGGTGATTTTATTTGGAATGACTCAGGTGCAACAAACTTGTTACAGGTTCTTTTAAACCTAATTGGCGTGAACGAGTTCCTTCCAACGAGCGACGTTGGAAAAGTGCTTTGTGGCGACAATTCCATCACGCAAATTCTCTGCAAGAACGCCCTATTCGTCGTTTGCGGATTCAGCCACAAAGAAATGAACGCCACATTGCTGCCAACCTTAATGGGTCACACCCCCGCTGGTTCCTCCACCAAGCAACTGCTGCATTACTCGCAGGAAATCAAGTCCGGCCACTTCAGGCAATACGATTTCGGCTTGATTAGGAATAAGAGGGTTTACAATTCTTTCTTCCCACCCGACTACAGGCTCGCTCAAGTCACTGCTCCAGTGTACTTGCTGTACAGCCACAACGATTGGCTGGCTGCCGAGAAAGACGTCAGCAAATTGTGCGACAAATTGGGAAATTGCAAAGAGAAGTTTGTAGTTCCCAATAAGGATTTTAACCATTTAGACTACATGTATGGTATGAGCGCTTCGGAGACCGTCTACCCCAAAGTTATCAGTATATTTAATAGTCATTAAATAGGGTTTTAATTTTTATTTCAACGCTTGATTTGATGAAATACAAATTATATATTTTTATATCTTTCAATATCATATGTTGTTTTAATAATTATTACAAATAAATGCTTTATTTTTCTAAATATTAATATTAATAATTAATAAAATTATTATAAAAAGCAGCACGAGTCCACTAATTTAAAGAGTACTTGATTATTAATTGTATTGTATTGTGATTGTAATATCAATAATTTTTACAAAACTTCAAATTGATAAAATATTTAGATATAAATACTAAAAAAATAAAAAAAATATTATTATCAAAATACGTTTTATTTACTTAATATTTAAATTATATTGATAACAACTTAAAAACCAAAAACTACACTGTAAAAATTTATAAAATTTGTGTTAAATAAAATATGTAAAAATTTTCATAAACTTCCTAGTGTTTATAACATAAATGATATATGTTACTCGATACAAAAATTATAATAATTAAAATCTTAAAATTTCAAAAGATTTAACAAACTTTAATGTGTTAAAAGGTCCTACACAGGGGCGTAACTAGGCATGTGGGGGCCCCGGGGCAAGGACGTGAATTGGGGCCCATGGATAAAATTGAAAAAAAAACTGTTTAAAATAACATTAAAACATGTTTTTTTCTTTATTTTAATCTTTTTTTTAACAAAATAATGAGTAAAATTGTGTACAGGTAATAATAGGTATTTTTTTAAACTTCATGGGTTGACATCATCTAAAATTGTTTTCAGGCACGTGAAACGCACGAATTACAAAAATGTTTTAATAAAAAAAATTGTAGATAATTTTTTATATAATATTTTGGCATCAAAATTGTCAAAAAATATTCTTCTTTTATTAAGCTATACATTAAAAACGCAAGAAATATTTTATAAAAGTAGAGATAATTTTAATAATTATAATTGAAGGGTGTGGACGGGACAAAAAAAAGATTTCTCTTGTCTCGTCCACACCTGTCAATTATTAAAGTTATCTCTACTTTTATAAAATATTGTTTGCGTTTTTTTAATTTAATGTATAGCTTAATAAAAGAAGAATATTTTTGACAATTTTGGTGCCAAAATATTATATTATATAATAAATCACCTTCAATTTTTTTTTATAAAAACAGTTTTGTGATTTGTCCCGTCCGCATGCCTAAGATGGCCCTTAATCAGGATTATGAATAATATAATGGATTTTTTCTGCTGCCTGAGGATTTTATTTTTTGCTGTAAGACATTTAATTTTTTTTACGTTTTGGGGGCCCCTACCCCAGGGGCCCTGGGGCGGTGCCCCGGCTGCCCCAGCCTAGTTACGCCCCTGGTCCTACACAAATAAGAATGTTAAATAATAATTGTTTTGTCCATTGTAGTATAATAATATAGTTAATCTTACGAGAAAATTATGTTAATTTTAATATAATTAAATAACTCCTAAACAAGTGCACTTAATTAATCTAACTCAAATATTTGTTAAGTACAGAAAATTTTTAATCAAATTAAAATAATTGAGTATTTTTTTATTCAATTCAACTTAAATATAAATGTTATTCTTTTTTTCGCTAATTTTCGCCTTCTTTCGATTAAAATCGGTACCCTGCAAGGCCCTTTGTCTTCTAACCGCGTTTAGTCGGTTGATGATAGTAATTCGATTAGAGGTTCCTAATTGTAAGGTTAAGTGTGCTTTTATATAGCCTGTGTTTAACAAAATTTAAAGGTAATGTTTTTTTTTTACTTACATAACGTTTGTATCCCCAGAAATGTTTGAAGACCGTTTATCCTATGGCATGGATTTGTATTTTATTTTGGAATTAAAAAAAAAGGACTGGACTTTGCAATTTTAGTGAATTCCAATGCTTCATTGATGGCGTTTTTTAAAAATTATGTTGTAGAATTATTATTAAAAACTTACATGTTTTATTTCTTGTCCAAAAACCAATATTCTTATATTAATTTAAATATTTTATTAAAATAAATAAAAATAAACAATTAATAATGTAAAAATTAATTCAAAAATATTGTTAATAAGAAATTAAAATAATTAAATGAAGACATGTTATTTGTGTAAAATCAATAGAAAGTTATACTTACATATGTTAGTAACACTTTTTTGTGTAAAATAAATAAAATATAAATAAATTTAACATATTTAATTATGTTAGATAAAGTATAGTATGCAACTCGTTTTATAAACTTCTCTAGACACTCGTTTTTATTAAACACTCGCTCGCAAGCTTCGCTCCTGCCTAATAAAATCCGTAACTAAAATGGGGGTTATAAAACTTGATACATAATATACTATTAAAAACAGTTTTATTTAAAATATTTATATCTTCGCCTATTGAAATTTAATATTTAATTATTTATTGTCATTAAAGAATTTACAAACACTTATTTGCTATTAATTATAATAAGAGTAAAATTTTAGTTTTAAAATAAACAATTAAAAATTGGATCAACTTAGTTTTATCTAAAATAATAATAAAATTAGTATTAGATTAATTAATTAATAAACACGTGTAATATATTATAATTTTTAATTATAAAATAAAGAAAACACGTCACACTTTATTGATACAATTTTTTTAAATAAATCGCAGAATAAGAAGGTCTAGATAATAACAAATCAAAATCAGCAAATTTATTCCAAACAAAATGCTTCCGATGCGAAATAATATCTAAATTCAATGTTCTATAAATTGATGGAAAAACGAATATTGCCTTAGTTACAGAAGTATACTCGACCCAGCTGGAAAATGAAGGTTGCTATTTTCTTCGCCCTTATCGCTCTTTGTGCTGGTTCCACTCTCACCAGAAGTGGTTCCTTTGGAAACATTGTAAGTACAATTTTATTTAAATTAAATTGTTAAAGGTTTTTATAAATAACAGCAAATTTAGCGGTGCCAATGTAGTAAAACAAATTACTGCTTTATTACAACGTAAAAGGGCAAATAATCCAAGAAAAGAGATTTAATAAAAAATTTAATTTATGTTAATTTTTAATATCAATATCAAAACTATTTTAAGTTTTGGAATTTTATTTTTTTTATATATTGTATATTATTTATTGGACTGGACCAAAAAAATCGACTATTTTTTTTGAAAAGTATATCGAAAATATGGTTTGGGGTGACTAAAAAAAATTATTGTGAAAGTTTGAGTCCATAATATTAATATTAAGAGGTCTATCATCGCAATTTTAGATTTTTTTTTTCCTGAGCGAGTTTTTGTCTCAGAACTCCCAAATCATTGAGTTTAACAAAATTGACTTAAGAATATTTTTTGAAGAAAATTGAATGCTCTACAAAAAAGGTTTGATTGGAATTTCCCGTCAGATGAAACCTTTTCTTACAATCATGCCTTAAAAATTAGTATAGTTTTACAATTTGATCTTTTAACTTTGGAATTTTGTAATTCAAGTAAAAATCAGTACCCTTAAAAAAAACGATAAATATTTTTATGGGAAATCAAATGCTCTACAAAAAAAGTCTTTTATCATTTTTGGCTAAATTCACTCCATCAAAAGTTATTCAAGGTTAAATTTGAAGTCAAAACTAAATTTTAACCTTGAATAACTTTTGATGGAGTGAATTTAGCCAAAAATGTTGAGAGGCATTTGATTTCTCATAAGAATATTTATCGGTTTTTTATGGGTACTGATTTTTACATGAAATACAAAATTCCAATTTAAAAGATCAAAATGTAAAACTATACCAATTTTTAAGGCATGATTTTAAAGAAACGGTTCATCTGACGGAAAATTATACTTTAACCTTTTTTGTAGAGCATTTAATTTTCTTAAAAAAATATTTTCGAGTCAATTTTGTTAAACTCAATGGTTTGGGAGTTCTGAGACAAAAACTTGCTGAGGAAAAAAAAAATTAAAATTGCGATGATAGACCTCTTAATATTAATATTATGGACTCAAACTTTCACAATAATTTTTTTTTGTCATCCCAAACCATATTTTTGATATACTTTTCAAAAAAAAATAGTTGATATTTTTGGCCCAGTCTACTATACATAATACACATACTAGATATCGTAATTCTCGGGACACACCTGACAGGTGCTCAGGTAACCCTTATCAAATTCTTCGATAAGAATTGTGCAAGGATGTAATTAATTTTTAAAATGAATATCGCCAAAATGTTAGATTGTAAAAATAAGTAATTATACATTATAAAAATAAGTAATTATACATTATACATACGTAATACATTTTATTAGAACTTACAAGAAGATTATTGTTGCATTGGTACCTAATAAATATTCATATATTGTTCTTTTAATTTTTACACTTCAGGAATTTTGACTCTTATTTAAAGAAAAAAGTTACTTATATAAAAATTACTATTTATTTTGGTGACTTTTTCATAAAAACATTTCTAGGAAAACTTGGTGAAAGAAAATAACTACGCCTACGAACGCTTCGAAGTTCAAACCGAAGACGGTTACATAATGGAACTCTACCGCGTGTTCGATGTCCAAAACCGCAAACAACAATCCGACAAAGAAGCCGTCCTTCTATTCCACGGGTACCTCTACAACTGCGAGGAATTCGCCATGGGTGGTGATGCCGAATCCTTGGCCTTCTACCTCGTCCAACAAGGCTACGAAGTTTACCTGGCCAACGCCAGAGGCACCACCTACGGTATGAGACACATCCACTTGAACCCCAAGACCGACGCCGCTTTCTGGAGATTCAGCTTCCACGATATCGGCACCAAGGACTTACCAGCCATCGTGGACAAAGTTTTGGAAGTGTCCAAACGCTCCAAAATCCACTTCGTAGCTCACATGGAAGGCACATCCGCCTCCTACGTCTTCCTCTCCGAAAAACCCGAATACAACCAAAAAATCGAACGTCTCGTCTCCTTGGGACCAATGGCCTACATGGTCAACTCCGAACAAGAAATCATCAACTTGGCCTTGAGAAACAACAAAGCTGTAAGTCTCACCGCTGTTTAAACAAAAATGCCCTTTATAAGGCTTAGAGTCTATCTTCTTGTATTTTCAGTGGTACCACAAGAACTTGGGTATCAGCACCTTCACTCCCAGCGAAGAAATCATCAACGAAGTGAGAACTAAATGCATCAACGAAAAATACGAACAACGTGTTTGCGAAAACGTTTACTTCCTTTACAACGGCTTCAACTCCGTCGACTATAACACCACCACCATTGAACGCGTTCTCTCCAAGGTTCCATCTACCGGATCCGTCAGAGACTTGCTCCACTTTGTTCAACTGAAAAAGTCCGGTAAATGTTTATTTTTATTAAAGTTAAAGTCAAATTCAAACTCCTCGTTTTAGGTCGTTTTGAGAGATACGACGAAAACTTCGTTTCCAAACAACAAGGAGCATCTGGAGTCCAAGAGTACGACTTGTCCAAGATCACCGTACCAGTGGGTGTGATCTACACTCCACGTGACAAGTTTGCCCACGCCGACGATGTCAAATTTTTGATCAGCAAGTTGCCCAAAGTGTTTGCCCAGCGTTTGTTCGACGACATGTACAACAACATGGACTTGATCTTCAACAAGAATGCCGAAAAGGTCAACGAAGTTGTTATGCACTTCATCAAGGGAAACAGTGTTTACTAGATGAAATTGTTATGTACCACTGTAGAAAAAATAAATAGTTTTATGAAATATTATTATTATTATTATTAAACATATACTTAAAAGGTTTAAAAACATACTAGCAATATTATGCGCTTTGCTTATCAGATCTAGCAATTGATAATCAAGCCTTAATGGGGTTTTAATTAATAAAAATTTTCTCACCTGATTATTTACTATCAAACAAACAAAGTTATACCTACGAGAGTATAAATAGGTAAATAGGCATTCGGTTCCGATCACTTCGTGCGGTTGCTAAAATTTAAGATGAAATCTCACATGTTTTTGTTTTGTGTTATCTTTATAAGTGTTTTTTCCAATCCAATTAAGAATGATTTTCCCATACCGGCAGGTGCGGGGTTAAATATTGTAAGTATTTATTTTCATATTAAAATATACATGTAACCAACATTCCATTATAAATCATTATATCTAAAAGATCTCATCTTCCATTCTCAAAGCAATCCTAAAGTATGGTTTCTGTTGAAGTATAATATTTTGAAATAACATCGATTTTAGTTTGAGTTCTTGGACCTCTATGACTACACTCATGAAGAGCACAGTGTGGTGACAGAAGATGGCTACATTCTGGGCCTTCACAGGATAACAAGTTCCCCCAGAAACCGAGCAGAAGGTCCAAAACCTGTAGTTTTTCTTATGCACGGTCTGGAATCCAGTTCCATGGACTGGGTAGATGTTGGTCCAGAGTCGGCTTTGGGCCTTATGCTAAGCGATACAGGCTACGATGTATGGTTGGGGAATAATAGAGGCAATACGTGGTCCAGAAACCACACTAGTTTAAGTGTTAAGGATAAGAGGTTTTGGGACTTTAGGTTTGTATATTTTATCGAATAATATTTCCATTGTAATGACATGTTTCTTTTAGTTTTCACGAAATAGGAAAATACGATCTCTCAGCCTTAATTGATCACATTCTTGAGACCACTAGGGTGAACAATTTGACATACGTAGGCCACTCTCAAGGGACTACGGCCTTTTTTGCACTAACAGCTTTAAAACCAGAATACAACGAAAAAATTAATTTGATGGTGGCTTTGGCACCAGTTGCTTACATGGACGATATGACGAATTGGGTCCCAAGGCTGATGTCAAATCCGATTAACAATTTAATAATTGGAGTAAGTAATTAAGACTAATACTTTTAAATCTAGTAACACTGTCATAGAACAACCATAACACCATTGATTAACACACACATTTTTTTTAGTTTGGAATTCAATCCATTCGCTTCTATGATATTTTGCCACACATTGAATTATTCACGGTTGTGGGAAAAAAAATATGTCCTGATGGTTCGCCGTTACAGTTTTTGTGTGCTGATATTATTTATGCAGTTGCTGGAAGCAGTCCTCAATTAAATAGAGTAACTACCTACAGTACCAATGTTTTTAAAATATCCAATTGTATTGTGTCTTTTTAGAATTTACTGCCCGTATTTTTGTCCAATACTCCTGCTGGTACATCCTACAGACAAATGATGCACTATGTTCAAGAACTTCGTTCAGGTATAGTTGATAATTAGAAGGGTGCTTCTAAGCACGATACACATAAACCGGTATTATTATTTTTGAATTAACTTAACTACGCTAGACCGAATTTTACAATATTTAAACAACTGTCGGAATATTTTCTTTATAAATTCTTTATCTTTTAGGTCATTTTAGGGCGTACGACTACAGTATAATAAAAAACCGAAAAATCTATAAACAATCAACGCCACCTAGTTACAATGTTACAAACATCAAGGCACCCGTTGCTCTATTTTACTCAGAAAACGATGTTTTTGCTGCTGTTCAAGTAAGAAATAAGTCACCAAAATTTAATACGTACTTCATCAATTTTTTTGCTATTTTAGGACGTCACACGTTTCGCCAACGATCTTCCTAACGTTGTCAGCATGAATAAAATTAAATATGGACAATTTTCTCATTTGGATTTCTTGTGGGCGACCGACCTTAACGAATATGTCAATTTCGATGTAATTAATTTGATAAATAAGTATAATAATATCAGTGCGGACTCTTCAAATTCGGCCGGGCTGGTACTGCAATCGAGTAATTTTATACTCATAACCAAATTATTAATTATTAATAGTATTAATTATTTATTTTTATAAAATATATGATTATACATTAAAATGCTTTTATTTAAGAAAGCCACATTCATTATTAAATTAAATTATATAATTTAATAACATTTATAATTTTTAAATAAATAAGTAGTTTTTTCACAAAAAAAGGAAGGCAGAAGTCTTACTATTACTAATTTATTCTACAGTGACCTGTAATTTTACATTTACCTACACCGATTTCGAGCTAAATGCGATAGATGGAACCACTTTTCCTTTGTAATATCAAAATATTTGTATTATTGTACGTAGTAAAATAATTTGACTTTTGAATTGATTACAAATTCTGTCTTTCTATTTGCTGGAAAAAAAGTTTATTATGCAGTTACTTTTTGCAATATTTTCTCTTAATTCTTTAATTGTAAAGTTTTCTTACCTTTTCATTGCAAGTGTTTGGTCTTCAAAGTAGAGGTGTAAAATAAAACACTGTATTTATTTCTAAAATAAACATTTCAGGTTTTTTACTTATTAATTGTATATACACAACATTAGTAAATGAAAACATCCAGATAATGATAATAATTTACACTGATTTTGTTTTAATTTATGTGTCTAGCTATAGTATGTATACCCACTGGAAGATTTCTGATTTATTCCACAATGTATATACATTAATACAAATGTAAAGTGTAGGCCTAAAACTTAAACTTATTAACTTACAAGTAATTATAATATACAGGGTGTCCCGTTTAATACTACTAGCGTGGGGACACTGGGCCTGTATACAGGGTAAATAAAAATTAAGTTTTTGGCAATGGGGAGCAGATGAATAAATACAGTTATTGCCTTTTTTGTTTTTTAATATAAATAAATACTTAATTTTTAAATACTCTGAACTATAGCCTAAAAGTACTCTCGTAATGTATTTTATACTGTTTTGTTTAAAATTTGTACAATCCTACAAAAAGAGACATTCATACTTATCAGACATCAGACAGAGTGTTTATAATTTAATTTTAATTTATAGCTATAATCTATTATGTAACTTGAGCAATAGCCCATAAATATTTCTCTCAAAAATAACAACAAAAATCAACAAATTTTGACACAGAATGATTTTTCTTAAATGGTCTCCACGTAATTGGCCGGGTAGAGGCCCACTCGGCCCTTGAAACGACCCTTGCACCAACCCTGCTCGTCTTCATCCTCCAACTTCTCAAATACATCACCTGAAATAAAAATAATACATAACAATATTATGCATTATTTTTATTTTGTAAAAATAATCAAGTATTTCAAATTTCGCGTTAAATCAAAGATTTTTAGATTTTTAAACGATTTTAAACGCTCGTATCAGGAGAGCACGAAGTCTTGCGAGATGTGTGCGTGTTTTTGCAACAAAAAATAAACATCGTTTATTTTGCTGTAATACTACCCCGGGATAGGTTTTAAACGATTTTAAGTAGGAGAGAGATGGAACAAAATTAATCCATGACGTCGCCCTAAGATGGGATTCAAAAATTCTCCAAAATTAAAATTTTTTAAAAATTTACAAATTTTCGAAATCTGTTTCAAAAAAATCCCAAATTTTCTAATTCGTTTAATTCGTTAACATTAGGAATTTTTGAATTTCACAACACCAAAAATTTCAATTTAATTCAAATTTTCCAAAACTAACAATTTTATTTTATTTGATTCCTAGATTTCTAAAATTTCCAAAATTTTAAGAATTTTCAAATTAACTGAAATTCAAAAATCCAAAGCTTTCAAAAATTAAAATGTTTTTTCAAATTTTTCAAGAATTTTCAATTTTTATGATCAATATTAAATTTACCAAAATTTCAAAAATTCTTTCCAAATTATTCTAAAATGTACAATTTTAATTTATTTGATTTCTTCTAGACTTAAAATTTCTAAAATTGTTAAAACATCAAAAATTTTAAAAATATTCAAATTTTTAGTGTTTAAAACTTGAAATTTTTAAACTCAAATATCCCAAAAACTTTAAAATTAAATTAAAAATTTACAATTTTAAATTTATTTGATTTCTAGATTTCTAAAATTTTCAAAGCTTCCAAAATTTTACGAATTTTTAAATTCACTGAAATTTTAAAAATATTCAAGTTTTTAGAAATTCCGAAATTTTTGAATTTCTCAAAAACTATCGTTTGAAATTTTTAAAATTTACAAATTTTTATAAATCTCTAAAACTTTCGAAAATATCACATTTTCCAAAAAATTTTTCGAAATTATCAAATTTCACAAAATTTTTAAACTTACCTGTTTTAAAAATACACAAATTTCCAAGTTTTCCATTTTTTTTTGATATCAAAATTACCAAAATTTAAAAAATTCTTGAACGTTTCAAATTATTCGAAATTATCAAAATTCCCAAAATTTCCAAATTGTTCAAAATTCGAATTATTTCAAAATTTTTTTCAAAAATATTTCAAATTTTCAAACCATGAAATTTAAACGTTTCAAATTATTCGAATTTATCAAAATTCCCAAAATTTCAAAATTTTTCAAAATTCAAATTATTTAATTATTATTATTATTTTTTTTTAAATATCCTAACATTTTTAAAATTTTCAAACATTGAAATTTTCCAAAATTTTCAACATTTCCCAACTTTTAAAAAACATTTAACAAAAACTTTTCCAAAAATTCCAAATTATAAAATTTCCAAAATTTCAAAAAATCAAGGTTAATCAAATCAAATTTTGTTATTTGAAACTCAAGAGTTTAGGATAATTTTTCGTGATGAATTTTCCAAAAAATTTTATTTTTTAAAATTGTCAAAATTTTTAGAAATTATATTTTCGGATTTTCCAAAAATTTAAAATTATCAGATTTTCTAAAGTTTTTAAAATTTTAATAAAATTCATTTAACAAAATTTTCAAAGCTTTCAAAAATTATTTTTTTTTTCAAATTTCCGAAGTTTTAAAAATTCTCAAATTCAAAATTTCTAAATTTTTCGAAATGATCAAACCAACTTACCGGTTTTGAAGGTCAGCTCGTCGCTTTCGGCGCCATCGTAATCGTAGAGCGCCTTGACGGGCACGCCGGCTTCTCCATTGTCCACCAACGTTTCACTTTCCTCCCAGTCCTCCTCGTCGAATGGGTTTTGCTCCTGGTTGTTCTGACTATTTTGACTGCTTCCGTTCCTGCAATAGTTCAAACATACGCTCGAGTTTTCGATCTTGATACTTGTCGTGGATATCAAAAATTTGGGTTAGTAAGAGGGAAAATGGGGCGTTTTTGTGTCCATTGGCCGAAATTTGTCAAAGACTTGTTAAAAAATAAATACAGTAAGTGGTTTATTTAGAAAGTGAAGTAAAAAAAAATGTATGCATTATGCTGTTTCAAATTTAAAAAAATTTACACCAATTTCAATTTATTTGGTTTCCAAAATATTAAAATTTCAAAATTTTTAAAATTGTGAGGATTTTTATAATTTTTAATACTTCCCACATTTTAAGAATTTAATTTAATTTTTAAAATGTTTAATATTTGAAAATTTTACAAAATTTAAAAAATTATTAATCTTCAATTTTTCGACATAATCAAATTTACAAAATTTTTAAACAAATTTTACCTAAAAATCCTACTTTTTCAAATGACAAAATTTTCAAAACAAAAAAATCCAAAGGTTTTAAAAATTAAAATGCTTTTTCAACATTTACAAATGTTTTCAATTTTTTTTTATATCAAAATTATCAAAATTCTCGAACTTTTAAAATTATTCGAAGTAATCAAAATTCGGCCATTTTAAGCATGCGAAAAATCACAAAACTGTTTTTATAAAAAAAATTGTAGGTAATTTATTATTTTGCATCAAAAAATTTTTTTTTGTTCCGTCCACACCTTTCAATTCAATTTTTAAAATTATCTATACTTTTATAAAATATTTCTTGCGTTTTTTTATTTAATGTATAGGTTAGCTTAATAAAAAAAAATATTTTTGACAATTTTGATGCCACATTATTTTGTAATAAATTATCTACAATTTTGTTTTTTAGTTTTGTAATTCGTGCGTTTGCGCGCTTAAAATCGCCAAATTTCCAAAATTTACAAATTTCCTAGTTTTTAAAGTTATCAATATTTTTAGTCTTAAATTTTTTTGTAATTTTTATTTGGTTTAATTTTCAAAACTCATTTTTTTTTATATTTACCACAATAAAAATGCGCAGTTGCCAAATGTCTTTTAATAGTTTTTTGTCAATGTTAATTTAAAAATTATTAAAATTAATCTTATATATATAAATAAAGGATGTTTAGAAAAAAAATATTAATTAGTTAAGTGTATTTTTTTATAAATAATAATTAAGAAAACCTCATATTTGGCCCTTTGACAACAATTTTAATTTATTTGATTTCTAAATTCCTAAAATTTTAAATTTTAACAATACTTTTAAAATTTCCAAAATTTTAAAAATATTTTGATTTTAAGTTTTTCGAATTTCTCAAAACTTAAATTTCCCAAAAAAATTTAAATTCAAATTTTCTTAATTTTAATAAAACTTTAAGACTTTTAAAATTGATAAATTTTCATAATTTTATATTTTGAGATCAATTTTTTTTTAATTTTCAATTTTTTTTAAACTTAATATATTTAATTTATAATTTTTTTAAAATTTACAAAACATTAAAAAAAATTCTAGTTATCATTCAAAAAATGAGCAAGTGGTAGTTTTTTGTCAATGTTGATTTAAACATTAATTATTTAAATTATTCTTTAAATAAAAGATGTCGTTTTTTAAAATTATCAATACTTTTAGCGTTGAGTAAAGTAGTCCTTAGTCAATGCTTTTAGTGCAAATTTTTAATAAATTTTATTTTCAAATTTTTAAAACTTTTCAAAACTAAATTTTTCCATTTACCACACTAAAAATGCGCAGTTGCCACATGTATTTTGATAGTTTTTGTCAATTGATGTTGATTTAAAAATTAATTATTTAAATTAATCCGGTAATCCTTAAAGAGAAGATGTTTAGGCAAAAAATAGTAATTGGTGTATTTTTTTTAATAAAAAGTTAAGAAAACCTCAAAAATAGTCAATATTTCTATAATATTAAAAAATTTCAAAACTTAATAAATCTTAAGAGTGTCCATATTTTTTAAATTTTCTAAATTCCAATCTCTAAGATTTTTGAAATTGATAAATTTTCCAAAGTTTTTTAAAATTATCAATATTTTGAGTTCAATTTCTTAACTTTCAAAATTTTTTAATACTTAATTGATTTAATTTTTTTTATTATTATTGATTTAAAAATTAATTATTTAAATTAATATTTAAATAAAAGATGTCGTTTAGGCAAAAAATAGTTAGTTAAAAGTGTATTTTTTCATTAAAAAAAATAACAAAACAAATTATTTAAAAAACTTACGTTATCGTTGAATTTCTGTTGACAGGACTTTCGACTTTTTTCTCGGTTCTCTCGGCGGGAGGTCGCGTTTCGGGCGCATGCGCAGGCGGACTCGCCGTCACCGGTTTAGCTGCCGCAGATTTCGTTTTTACCGACTTATTCACAGAGAAATCCTAAAAGACACCAAAAAATGTTTTTTTTTTCGAAAAATGCAATATATCCACGAATTAATTATAGCTACATCAAAAATGCAGCAAGTTTTACGAAAAAAAAAAATGAACTGATTTGTGCCAAAAACGTTAAAAAATAATAAAACAAAAATGAAGCCTACATGCAAATCCTCGCTGACCGGGCGCTGGTTAATGAGCATAATGCCGCCAGAGGGCGCCGTTTCCTTGACCTTGCCCCTGTGGATGTCCCTGAACTCTTCGGTGTACTCCTGTTGGCGAAAAACATGCGAAAACAAATGTTGAAAACGAAACAAAACACGAAAACCCGTCATGCCAACGAAAATGCGCAAAATTTACCTCGAACTGCGGCCAGTTCATCGCCATGTTTACTCCGTAGTTGTTAGACCACCATTTCAAGTCTTTCTCGTAGTCTGCGTTGTTTATCGTGTGGTAGAGTTCTTCGTATATTTGGTTCAGCCTAAAAAAATATTTGTAATGAAAAAAAAAATGCTAAATATTATTTTTTTACAGTGGGTCCTGGGAAATGTTGAGATACTTGTGGATATCGAAAAGGATGTTTTTGATGAAGTTGAGCCTTTGCTGCTCCATCTCTTGACACTTGTCAAAAACGACGGTCATGTCCTCCATGTATTTCGGGTTGTACTGGTTGATTTCCTGCAGCGCCGCCTCGTATTTTTCCTTGCACTTTTGCACGTCCTCTTTGGTTTTTATCACGCGGTCTTGCATTTTTTTCACCTAAACAGAAAGTTACTTTTAAGAAAATGCCATGTTACTATTTTTTGGCATGCTATAAAAATGCATAAATTAACCTATTTTAATTTTAAATACACTTATAAAATAAGGTTTTTTTTATAAAATATACTTAAATAACAAAATTGTAGAAATGCATAGCAAGCCTAGTAAAGTATATATAGGTAGGTATAGCGATAATACTAAAGGTTTTATTTAATTGGATGCCTATTTTATGTAAAAACTTACCACCACATTCTTCTGATTAGATAAAAAATAAAATAAATATAGGTAGGTATTACAACTTACAAACAGGTATAAATTAAAACAAGTTTAATTTGTAGATATTAATTTTTAAAAGTATCAAAAGTTCTAAAAAACTTAAAAAAATCGTTTTAAGGTAGCACATCTATTTGAAGAGTTTGATAAATGAATAACAGTAGGCCGTTACAGCAAATTCAGCGGTGCCAACGTAGTAAAAAATAAAACGTATTTTAATGAACAAATTACTACTTAATTGCAAATTAAAGTACCATTAAAAACTGAAAACAACATAATAATATATTATGTAACAAGTTTGATAACCGCCATTTTAGTCACGAATTTAATTTAGGCACGAGCGAGCTTGCGAGCGAGTGCTTAATTAAATGAGTGCCTAAAAAAGTTTTTACAACAAATACTTAATATTATCTAAAAAATGATTTAAAATAAATATTTGTATAAATACGAAAATAAAGTAACCATCCCAATAAACATTTTTACGTTATTTTCACCATTAACATTGCCCGCTATTATTTTAATTAAACTAAACAATTATTAATTAATAAAATATTAAAAAAACTTCGATTGATTTTTTTATTACAATAATAGCAAAATATTATTACAAAGTATTAAAAATTCCAACAAGGGGAAATGTTAAAGGTACAAAAAGTCTACCGGCGTTAAAATCTAAATTTTTTTTGAGTGAATCAAAATTTATACTTTGAAAATAGACAATCATTATAAAAGCGTTTTTCACAGTAAAAGAGAAGAGAATGTTTTATGGGCACTATACAAAAAATTATTAACGCTTTATCAGTTAAATCTAGTTAACTGCACTACTACGGCCAAATCAAAAGGTCATTACAAACGTTTATATAATCTTTTCAAATATCTATTTAATATCTACTTTTGTATTTTTGTAGTAAATAAAATAATTTTTACATTTAGTAATATTTTACAAGAAAGGCACTTAATTTTAAAGATCATGTCGTCACCAAATTTACGAAGTGGCGTATATGAAGATTTAAGTTATGCAAAAAAGCAATTTTTTGAAATAAAAGTTTAGCATACTAAACACTTATTCCAGAAATTTGCTTTTTTGCATAACACAAATCTTCCGATACGGTTGTGTTATGCAAAAAAAACCAATTTTCTGGAATAAACGTTTAAAATGCTAAACGTTTATTTCAGAAAATTGCTTTTTTGTATAACTTAAATCTTCATATACGCCACTTCGTGAATTTGGGGACGATGTGTGTCATGGAAACATGTACGATAATGGGTGTTTTAAGGGTGGGAGCAGAAAAAGGTTAATAAGAAAAAATGTAAATTGCTAATTTGTTGCTATAATGGCAAAATTAAGATTTAAAACTGTCATATTTTTCTGTTTCTTAAGTTGGAAGCACGAAATTAAAATGACATTTTTAAAAGTGCTTATTAAGATTTCCATAAAAAACACTGTAATAATTAATGTCCAAGCCTGATGTTGTTCAAGTTAAAAATCGAATTTTTGAAAATGACAGACCCGTAAAAAATATTTTCAAAAAAAGTATTGCCAAAATAATTGAAAATTACAAAATGTAAATACAGGGTGTCCCAAAAATCATTAGTTTTTAAGATATTGGCATTTTTATGAATTTTGTGAAACTTAACACATACAATTTTGCGTAACCCTAAATAGGACTACTATTAATTACAATTCAAAATTAAATTAATAGGAGATTTTGTAGCTGTGACACTTGAAAAACTGATCTAAGGTGTCAAGTTTTACAAAGTTCATAAAAATGACTAGGTATATCTCAAAAACTAACGATTTTTTACCAAGGTCATATTTTGATTTTCTGCTTAGTCATGAGTTGGTCTATCAGTCCTCCAAAGGATATCGTTGACTTCTGGGACACCCTGTATATACTTTGACATAATTGAGGTTATGTATCTGTCAGTTTAATTTAGTCTTATTTTCTAAAAATAAATAACAATATACATATATATTTTGTGGTCTTAATATATAACAAAAATACTTGCATTAATGTCGGAAAATAAGAGGTAATTAGCGTTTAAATGACTTGAGATACATAACCTCAATTATTCCTTATTATTATACAGGGTGTCATAAACGAAATTCCCAAGAACATTAGGTTAGAAATGCTTTATAATGGAGTTGCACAAATACCTCCAGCATGGACTTTTAAAAACAATAAAATTTAGGATGTTTTTTTTGTACTGACCTGATCAGTCGAAATGGACGTGTCTCCCGAGGCGTTCCTCTCCTGATTGGCTGCTGACTTTTCGGTTTTGCAAGCCGTGTGATACTCGTTTTTGGCTTTTTCCACTTTCTGCAAAAGTTTCGACCAAGGTTTTTGTGCTTTACGGAAATTGTCGTCCATGTCTTTTTTCTCCTTTATATTCATCATCGACTAGAAAAAATATATACAAATATACCGGGTGATTCACCTAACTTATTCAGCAATTATAAGGCAATTTTAACTATTTTTTTTTAATAATTTTGAAATCAACTTTTTTTAAATATCGCATTTTTAAATTCTAGGTAAAATTCTAGAAATATAAAATTTGACTATTTTTTTTAATTTTTAACAGTTCTCCTTATTGATAACTACTGATAAGAAAGAATCAGAAAACAACGTCCATATAACCAAATATACTTTTCTTAGTGTATTTAGTATATTTTATCTTTGATTTAACGTTAAACATTGGTCTCGGTGATTTTAAAGTCGTTAACCCCTCGCCGTTTGGGCTATGTAGTGAGGGGATTTAAAAAAGGTTTAAATCTTAATGGCAATTTTCTCGAACCAAAAAAAATGAAAGTAAAAATTTGAATGTTTCTCACATCTGATATGTTAAGGCATTTAAAACAATCGAAATTGACGCCGCCCCTTTCTGAATTCCTATTAAAAAGAAATTACGCTACCAATGTATGTGCGGTACCTATTGCATAATTTATGGGTATTTATTTATTGGCTTGTACTCGATTGTGTTTTTTTCTCTCATTTACGTATTGTTTTGTTATTTGTTATTCCGAACACCGGCATTACGAATGTGCGAAAGTAAAAGTATAAATAACTTAGCCAAGTAAGTGGTTTATTAAAACAAAAAATCAATAATGGATAACTGTTTATTTATTTATAATCTACTTACTTATTTTAGTTCAAAATAGAGGTAATTTGAGATTTATTATATCGTGTTTGCATTGGCAATTATCTTATAAACTGGCAACACTGTTGGAGAACAGCAACACCTAAAAAGCTGATTTAAACTCGCATGTTCATTTATTTATTTATATTCGCAGTCTAACTTTTACTTTTGTTTGCGTATCATTGATAAAATTTCTTGGCACATCACGTCAAGTCTTGGAATAACAATTGCTAAAACGGTAGATTGTCACTTTCACTAGACAAATAAACCAACTGCATTTTTCTCTTTATGCAAAAAAGAAAACTAAACTTTCCTCTAAACACACACCACTTAGATGTAGGTGACATTTATTTGATCAAATTTCTATTAATTTTTTTATGTCTACGTTTATGATGATTTTCTATTTACTCACCAGGTGGGGTGAATAGAATAATTTTTGTATTTATTTTGCTTAGGGCTATATTAACTGTCTTTGTCAAACTTATATTAGATTATACTATCCCTCCTTTTTTAAATGGAACCACTACGGACTTGGCTTTTCAATGTTGTCGTTTATTAAATGTACTGGTAGTTTATAACTTCCAGAATAACAAAATAATGTTTAATTAGGCAGGTAAATTTATAAACCCTTTAAATTTCACTGTTGAACTTATGAATTTAGTTTTTGTAAAATAAATGCGCTTCATCAATATTTAAGTATAAATAAATTATTTATTTAATAATGTTTATAAATAAAAAACCTTAATATTTATTATTATTTTTTTATTTAATTATTAATACCGTCTATTACCAACAAAATTACTATTTATTAAAATGTAAACAACCATTTACAAACAATTAAAATAATTCATTATCTACATACCACGTGGTACTGTACAGTAAAAAATTGCCGATTAGGAGCATTTTTCCTTTGAAGTAGTTTTCGCTACTTTAAAGTTTTTTTCCACCTTAATTTACTTTACGGTAGTTTTGGTTAGTACCATAAACGTTCCAAATACTAAAATAAAGTTATTAACTTTATAGTTTTTAACTATGTTCCAGTTTTGAGATTTTAACTTGCAAAGTAGTTTAGTTAAAAAATATATGGCTACACTAAATAAAATTAAAAATATTATTATTATTACTATATTATAATTGTTTTAATCTTTGTATACCTATGGGGCCCTCTAGTGACTACTATCGAAAACTATCGATATTTTGCAGAAAACTATCGATAGTGCTTCGATAGTTCTCGACCACTAATAACAATAACATTGATTTTCAATAATCTAAATTTAAAAAAAACATAACCCGAAAAAAAGAAACGTCAAAAAATCAATTCTTTTTCTTCTTCTCAACTAAAATTATAGATCAAGTGGTTTTAAAACTAAAATATTATAACGTGGCGCCATCTATCGTAAGAATCTTAAACTAAACACACTGGCAACCATAGAAAAAGCTGGCAACGTTGTCAATGGCCTAGTGACGTAATTAGGAGATTTTTTTTTGTAAATATCTCGAAAACGGTAAACTCAATCGAAATTCCGATTTCACAGAAATGTTTAAAATTACAAAACGCCTCGAATAAAACCATAAAAAGTATAGGTCAGAAAAAATTTAACTACCCCATTATACAAAATACAAAAGTGTTTTTTTAGTTCCACCCTTACTTCTTAAGAAGTCCCATAAGCCAACTGAACGGCTTGTGCGGGTTAGGGGTAGGAACGGACCGCGGGCTTAAAGTCCCCTCCGAAGGACTATGCATTGAAACAATAACTACCTTGTGGTACGTTTCCTTCTGCCACGCCTTGATCTTGTTGAGGACGTCGTTGGTCAGGCAGTCCCTGACTTTGTTGTGCAGGTCGCACCGCCTGTCCGCCTCCCCCAGCACGCCCTTCCACGCCGCCTCCGTGGTCCCGTACTCGGGCCCTTTCTCGATCAGGTCGTTCCACTTCTTCGACCACGCTTTCAGCGACTTGGCGTAGTTCTTCTCGATTTCGGCGCGCTCCGCCACCAAGCTAATCAGCTCGGCGCACAGCCGATACCCGTCCTCTATCCGCTTGGTGGTCTTCTTGTAGTTGCCCGGCTCCCAGAACGACTCGCTGGTCGCTATCAGCATGTTGTCATCGCTGTGATGCGACATTATCCCAAAGAAGCACCTGAAACAAGTGAAATAGCTTTAAGACAAAATTCGACCTGTATTGGGTTTCATCAGTGTCGAGCAACTTGGTGTAGTGGAACACAATCACAACAAATTACTCCCAGAGCTTATATGCTCGGTTGGTAAGCCAACAGAAGCGAGATGTAAGAACCACACCGTCAAACGACGTGGAAAAAACTTTGGCGAGGTGTAGGTTCAATGAATATTACCAGTAATGGGTAGAGATGTAAAAAACGGTTTTTTTTTCAGATGTTAAAAAAACATGAAAAAAACCTAGAAAAAAAAACGGTTTTTTTTGGTTTTTTTTTCAAAATAAAATTTTGAGTAAAATGTAGAATATATTACATTTTTCATTATTGAAAATTTTGACCAAGACTAAAAAAATCTGATTTCTTTAAAAAAGCAATTTGAAGCTTGAAGTTTATAGTTTTGAGATTTTTAGATGATAAACGTGCAACGCTCAATTCTAACGAATACCGTAATAAAAAAAATCGATTTTTTTTTGCTTTCTTTTTCGGTCCACGGAATGTTCTGACCACCAATGAATAAATGTTCTACAAGAATTTGCTATTGTTTTTTTGGAAAAAAAAATTTCCATACTCTACATAAATTTGAAAAACATGAAAAAAGTGCTTTTGGTAGCTTTTTGAAAAATCAAGCGTTGAATCAAAAATATTATATGTAGTTACTTTTTTTAGGACCAAATCAAAACAAGCGCGGCCCTTATTCGGTGGTGGTGGCGCGTGCATAGCGCGAGACTGTATTTTCATTTACTAATTGTGATTTAGTGGCTAATTTTAGTCCATGGAAACATAAAAAATTAGGCAAATGGGACTAATCTTGAAAAAAACCTAAAATGTGAAAAAAAAACCATTTGAAAAAAAAACAATGAAAAAAGACCTGAAAAAAAAACAAAAAAAACGGACCGTTTTTTTTCAAGTCGCATCTCTAGTAATGGGTCATGAAAGTTTCTTAAAGAAACTAAGAAAATTAAATGTTTAAAAAACCTCTTTTATTAAATTATGATTACACTGAGAAAAAAGTTTATTGCTCCCAAATAAAAAAAATATTTAAATATGGGACAAGGGTACAGTTTATTTATCCTAAATATATTTTTATTCCCGACACATAAAGTTTTACTAAAGTATATTTATCGTTATTATTTCGACTATTTAGAGGTAATAAACAATATATTCACTATTAATAAAAGTATTAGCTACACAGTTTATTTGTCCTATTTTTTTCTCAGTGTATGAGCTATCAACCTAGTATACTAGATATCAACCTAGTATACTAGATATATCTACCCATTACCTACCATTACTCATAAAAAGACATTTATTTATAGCCCTTGGCCATGTCGAGCATCATACTCAATGGCCACTTGTTGCTCGACCTCTGCAACTCTTTCTATTATATGATAATTTGTAATTACTCGCTACAACAGTAGAACGGTCTGCTGGTTTCGCATTAATAACAATTTTTCCATTGCACATTTAACGAACGCGCAATTTAGAAAATTAAACGTGGAGTGGTCTGTTAGCGGCAAGGGTGGCGCACAGTGGTCTGAGAAATGAGAAATTATTCTTTAAATGTTTTTCTCTCGATTTTTCCCAGCACGTGACTTTTTAATGTGTTTGAGGGTGCTAAATTTATCTTTAATATTTAGTATAATAATAATTATGGAAGGGGAGGGGAGCTAAGTCTATATAACATGTTTTTTTCAATATTTGTATTTTTTTAATAGTTGAAATAAGGAATTATATTTTAATAGTACCTAAATTATCTATTAAGTTTTATAAACGCTATTTGAGTTACGAGTTTTATTAGGCACGAGCGAAGCTTGGAAGCGAGTGTTTAATAAAAACGAGTGTCTAGAGAAGTTTATAAAACGAGTTGCATACTATACTTTATCTACAACTAACGCAAAGAAGAATTTAAAGCCAATTTTATCCGAAATCGGCAGTAAAGTAGTCAACAATCGGCAGTAAAGTACTGCCGATTTTATACGAGTATTATACATTTTAAGATGTGTCTACTGCTCCTCAGCAGCAACTAAATAATATTAAAAAAAGCACCGTTGCGGAGGTCGATTGGACCCTTTCATAAAATGTTGTTTAATAAATTTTATTAATTAAATTAAAAAATCGCGTGAGATTCGCCCTTTTGTTATAACGCAACGCATACGCGTAACTTCTATTTCGCAGTTTAAAATCTTGGGTAATAATCTGTCAAGAACAATATATTATAAGTAGGCATCAAAATGCGTTTTTAAAAAATTGGGTTTTTGCCGCGTAAATTTACCTCTCAGACCACTGTGTGGTCTTCCTATTGGTGCTAGGAGCGATGTAGTGCCGTTTCGTCTTAGGAATAATAATAATAGTATTATTTCTATGCGTTTCGTGTTCGCCTTGCTTGCTTTGAGTCGGCAACTGACCGATAATAAATGTAATAGATTAAAATGTGATTTGTCTGGATTAACGAACACATATCGTTAAAGACCGGATTTGGATTACGATTTTAAAAAATGTATAAATGTAACAAAAAAGAAAAAAAACTATTTTTGTGCAGCACAGAAGTATTATAGGTAATATGAGAAGTACCTTTTAGGCTCTAGTTATTTTTTGTCCCTGGAACAACTTTTTTTCAGATGGTTGACTCTTTTCTTTCGTACCTATGACGTTGATATTCGTCCTGAATTCTTTAGTTCTGACTCCTTGCAATTCAAAAGCAGAATATTCCCTCTGATGTATGTTTTGTATATAAGAGGCATTTTTAAGGTTAATTTAAAATGTATACAAATTGATACAATATTTCGAAAGTCCGTCGAAAAAATCATCAATCTAAATATTATGGATTTTTAGAAACTAAAATAAGTGACCTGAAGTTAGCAAAATGTTTTTCCCACCTTTAAAAAAACCATTTTCGTACATGTTTCCATGACACTAAGTGACCTTTTAAATACACATTTGACAAGCTGTGGCTTTACGGAGTTTTAGTCACGGGCTGAAGTTAGCAACAGCTTTTTAGGCACGGGCTGAAGTTAGTTTTAAGTTAGTTGACAGTTGTCAAATGTCATACAATCGTTAAAATAAAGTGCCTTTCTTGTAAAATAATACTAAATGTGAAAATTATTTTATTATCTCAATACAAAAATACAAAAGTATTAAATAGTTTCTCAATGCCAATATTTGAAAAGTTTATATGAACATTGTACTGACCTTTTAATTTCGCCGGCAGTAAACTATAACTTAAATTCGGGCACGGACTTCACAGTTAAGTGCTCATAAAACATTTTCTTTACTTTCACTGTAAAAAACTGTCAATTTTCAAGAAATACATTTCGATTTATAACCTTTATAATCTGTGTTTATAAAATATAAAAATTTGACATTTGACGGTGACACACAAGATTCCCCTATTGTTTCATAGATGGCGCTCTATACAAATATTTGATTTAAATCATTTTAAGATAATAATAATTTAATTACAAATTCCTTTTATTTTTTATCACTAAAATATACTCAGAAATCTTAATTAAAAAATGTACCAATTTTCATTATCTTATCAAATTACGTAATTTAAAATTTATGATATTTTACATACAATAAAAAATTAGAGCAAATAACGTTAATTAAATCGATTCTTGGTGGATGAACTATTGGTGTATACCTATGACCTATTTTACGATATAATCAATTAAATAATATTAAGTTTATTTTTATTGTAGTATAAAAAGTATTACAAAAGTTCATAATATGAAACTTTGGAGTCCTTCTATTAATCATAGAGAGCCATGGAAATGACATATGGCAATTTTTTTGTCGCCATTTAAAATGAAACACTCTGTATATATAATAATGTTATGTACTCCTCAATTTTCATGGTACATAAAAGTTTGAAATCGGCGTAGCGTGAAAAAAAAAATAATTAAACGGAGTAGGCGTTTAATAAATTTAATAAATACCAATCTCTCGCGCATTTTTTTCCTCTATACATTGTACGCGGCTAACGGTTCAATGCGATTTAAAACGAAACGGGGCACCGGTCAAATTAATTATGACCACACTGGCGATCGAGGAAAATATTTCGAAAATTTACATAACTGCTAATTTGGGCCTGGGCGGCTAAACGAGATTCAAGCCTCGGGGGCTTGGTTCGATTTTTTCGGAAATATTTACTTTCTGCTGTAGGTGGAAATTGGTTTTAAAAGTGACGCAAATTTGATTTATTTGATATATATATATATATATAAATATATATATATCTATTTTGCAAAAATTTTATAAAAAATTAATTTTATACAGTTCTTTTTTTATCTGGACTGGTTTTTTTGTTAAGTTGGTTGACTTAGTATTTTTAGTATTTAAAAATGGTACTTCTGCTAAAGAATTTAATTAAATACTTTGACACTGTCAAATTGACAATAATATTTATTATTGATAATTTACTTGTCAATTATAAATAAAAAGATAATTATTCCAAAAATAATAGCAACGAATTCGAATGTAAAAGCCCTTTTGGGACAAAACTTAATTTTGATGAAATTATGCCAAATGCCACAATGGAAGAAAAAGTACATCGCCTTATGGGCAATTTTGGAGTAAAAAAGTAACGAATTTGGTTTTATAAATATTACATCACACATTATTTTCACATTATTCACCACTGGACAACATTTACGTTCACAAAAAATTTTAATTTCTTTTATATAAATTCTTTTCAAAGCCAAGATTATTATCCCCTAGGAATACTTTCTCTTCTGGGCCGTAAAGCAACTTATATTTAACTACTTTTTTATATGATTTTACTCATCCAAGCACCACCAAAGCCAAATTAATTGCATTTTTAACTACGAATTTCGACAACTCAACTTGACAACTACAATAATTTATACATAACCACAATTAGATTTATAACTAGCTTAGTTTGTTTTAATCAATGCGACCAACTTGACAACTGTATTTACTAAAGTGACCAGATTCTGTCAAAAAATAGAGGGACATTTTGTATGAATTTACCTTAATTACAAAATTGACACAATGATACAATGCAAATTGTAAATTTGACGTTACTTAATTATTGTTGATTGTGTCATTTTTGTAATTAAGGCTAATTTACACAAAATGTCCCGTTATTTTTTGACAGAATCTGGTCACTTTAGTATTTACCAGCCAAAACCCTAAATTTGCAACGTTATGCAGTCCAGATAAAAAAAAGAACTTTACCTCATATTTAATTTGGTCGAATTTTACTTTAGATAGTTGGTATCACAGTCATTGGGTTAATGTCAAAATCGATTCGCCATGGCGTCCTTAATTTACTTATTTACAATAAGCGGCTGCTAATGTTAAAGAAGAAAAAAAGGATTTTCTTTGGTGTTAAACAAAATTTATTGCCAGAAAAGTCTCGTAAAAACTAGAAAAATGCTAAAAATATTATAACCAATATGCAAAATATTATTTTACTAGTATGCTGTTAAAAGTAGCAAACCGGACCGGAAAGTATGATATAAAGACAGCTATAGCAATAAATAAACTTTCCCATACGAATATTAAAATCATCGAAAATTCTTGAATTAATTAATAATCAAAAATGCCATTCACCAGACCAGATTGAATGGTTTTAAATCAAAACAGTAAGTAAAGGTAAAAGAATTTCCGGCAAAACTTGCCGACCCCATTACGCAAAATTATTTTACAAGCGACATTAAAATAGTAGATTATGTATCAAGTTTGATAAACGCCATTTTAATTAGTTTTAATAAGCCACGCAAGTGTTTAATTAAATGAGTGTCTAAAAGTTTGAGCTAGTAACTTGGGAATCTTTTTTTCACAGTTAAAGTTATAGGCACTTGTATTTTTGTATTCTAACGATTTTATGACATGTCACAACTGTCAACAAACTTAAAACTAACTTCAGCCCGTGACTAAAAACCTGTTGCTAACTTCAGCCCGTGGCTAAAACACCATAAAGCCACAAGTTGTCAATGCGTATTTAAAAGGTCACTTAATGTCATGGAAACAAGTACGATAATAGGCGTTTTAAAGGTGGGAGTAGAAAATAGTATATTATGTATCAAGTTTGACAAACGCCATTTTATACACGAATTTAATTTAGGCACCACCGAGCTTGCGAGCGAGTGCTTAAATTAATGAGTGTATAGAAAAGTTTATAAACGAGGTGCATACTATACTTTTTCTACGTCAAATACTTATTATTATCTTGAAATGATTTAAATCAAAAATTTGTATAGAGCGCCATCTATGAAACAATAGGGGAAACTGTGTGTCACCGTCAAATGTCACATTTTTTTATTTTATAAACACAGATTACAAAGGTTATAAATCGAAATGTATTTCTTGAAAATTGACAGTTTTTCACAGTGAAAGTAAAGAAAATGTTTTATAAGCACTTTACAGTGGAGTCCGTGCACGAATTTAAGTTATAGTGAGAAACTATTTAATACTTTTGTATTTTTGTATTGAGATAATAAAATAATTTTCACATTTATTATTATTTTACAAGAAAGGCACTTTATTTTAACGATTGTATGACATTTGACAACTGTCAACTAACTTAAAACTAACTCCAGCCCGTGACTAAAAACCTGTTGCTAACTTTAGGCCGTGACTAAAGCGCCGTAAAGCCACAACTTATCAATGTGTATTTAAAATGTCATGGAAACATGTACGATAAAGGGCGTTTTAAAGGTGGGAGTAGATTCACCTAAAAACGTAGGTACTTCGTTAATGTACCTATAAATAGTAATTTTATTGACTGAACGTATAGCCTCGTAAATATATGAAATTGATTTCATGCTTATGTACACATATTTAGGGTATTTTGATCATCCTTGCATAATTTCTGACCTACTTCCTCCATACATTCAATCACGTTTTTTTTTCGTTAAAACATGAAATCTGTGTTTATCATTTTTTTATACCCGGCAGCACATTCAAGGTAACTAATGTATGTAAGTGGTTCAGAAATAACGCTACAACTTCAATCAAATAAATGTTAATTTATCTTTTTTCAGCATTAATATAGCTCTCGAGAAATTTTATTTCTTATTTACTTTCAAGTGTATAAACTAAATAAATTTAGTTTAGTTTACATAATATGTGTATACGAATTATCTCTATTGTTAAAATAAATTCCATGTTCCTAGTGGGAAAGTAAATAAAAAGCCGTATAACGGCATTTTAGTTGCATAGTTTTATACATATAACAATATGATTTTTTAAACATTTGATTCCATACGATCGAAAAAGTAAAGATTTTCAATTCCTATTACGAAATTGTTTATCTTCGAACATCTTAAAAATGTAGTACAAGGGTATAAAGGGGTTGAATCCTTAGAAACTTTTAAGTTAATTAGGCG